GTAACAAACTACCCAAAACGTAGTGGCTTAAAACAACAGTATTTATTTTGCAGTTTGGGACAGCTCATTTCTGCTCCACTTGGCATTAGTTGGGGGCAGCTCCAGTGCTGGGGGCTGAATTATCTGAAGGTTCACTCTCTCACATATCCGGTGGTTAGCAGGAACCAGAGCTGGAGTTGTTGGCTGGAACCTTCACGTGGCCTCTCCATGAGGCCTGGCCTTCCTCCCAACATGGTGATTGAGTTCCAAGAGTGAGTGGATAGAGAAGGGGGGCGGGGAGTGGGAAAGGGAGAGAGAGAGAGAGGGAGAGGGAGAGGGAGAGGGACAGGGACAGGGACAGAGAGAGGGAGAGAGAACCTGGATTGTGTTGGGTGGAGCCATATTGTCTTTTATGGCCTAGTCTTGGAAGTCATAGTGTCACTTCTGCCATTCTCTATTGGTTGAGGCAGTCACAGAGTCTGCTCAGGTTCAAGGGGAGGGAACATAGACCCCATCACTCAAGTAGAAGAGTGTCAATGCCACATGGTGAAAAGAGTAATTGGGATGAGCTATACACTGCTGTGCCTATTTTGGAAAATACAATTAGCCACAAGTTTTAACCTTTATTAGATCCTTTCATGAAGTGTTGAGCGCAGAGCCTGGCATAAGTGAATGCTCGTGGGCCAAGAAGCTGCAGTCTCTCTGCCTGCATGCAGCCAATTCCGGACTCCCAGCAAGTCTCACTCCTTTTGTGGTTTCCCTGGCCTAAACTAAGTCCAGTCCAGAGCACCTACCTTGGCCCCACTCAACCCCAGAATCCCTCCCCACCAAGGCCTTGCTGCTCCTCAGGCTGTCCTGGGCGGTAATGTGGATTCATGGCTCCCCTAAATCCAAAGACCCTCAGGGCAGGAAGGACCCTCCGCTCTCTGCTCAGCCCGTGGATTTGTCGGAGCTCAGACAGGATTTGTGGTAGAGCTAGGACTTTGGGAGATCCAAGCCACTCTAATTTCAGGGCCATGGTGCGTTAGGAGTGGCTGAGCTGGCCTGGTCTAGCATGTCCCCTGCCTGAATTCACACCATTCAACATCTCCAACCCACATTCTGCATAGGGGCAGAAACTGAAGCACAGAGCGGGTAAACAATTTCCAAGAGCTACAGAGCATCTCTCCCTCTGTGCCAGACCAGAGCCACCTTACACGAAACAGGAGCCTCTGAGCCAGAAGGGTCCTGTCACCTGTTACAGCAGACTGGACAGGCGGGGACTCTGAGGCCAGGAAGTGGGAAGGGCTCTCTGGCTACTCCGTGATGAAGCTTTTGTGGCCAGGTCCCTGCATATACCCTGTGCTCCAGGAGGCCAGGAACGTACAACTGACAAGTCTACCCCTGTGTCCTTCAGGCCCTACCTGGTGCCTGTGGACAGGTGAGTGGACAGTCAGTGGGGGCAAGGGAGCTGGTGCCTTGCCAGGAGGGGGTGGGAATGCCCCTGAAGAAGTGTTTCCCCAAAACCTGCTGAGTAGCCCTGTTTCTCACCTGGCTTGGTGGAGGGACATTCACACGCCTGGACACATCTAGATGGGGATGAAGCCATGCCTCCGGTGAGAGGGGGAAACCCAGAAATGTATTCACTGCCGGGGGAGGTGAGACAGAAACAAAGAAGTGGACCTGGTGCCGGCTGTGCATCTAGGGCAGGAGGAGGTGAAGAAACAGGCTTGGAGGAGGAGGAGGAGAAGGAAGGAGAAAATGGGCAGGTGGAGGAAAAGAGAGAAATGGAAAAAAGGGAGCCCACTGCAGCTTCCTGACCCATGGGCACCTTTGGAGGAGAGAAAGGAGGGGAGAGAGCAACAGGGGGAGGAACAAGAGGCTGCAGGGGAGTCAACACAGCCCTGCCCCCCACTCCGCTAGCAAGGGGGTTCCACCCAAAGGGTGAGTGCGCGCAGGAGGGCAGCCAAAAGACTTAATCTGGCTCTGCCCAGCGGAGGTTCCACCACAGGGAGTGGCAGCGGGGAGCAGGGTAGGGGAAAGGGTTGGGGAGGTGAGACAGACGTGTGGAAAAGTCAGCAGCCTCCGAGGCAGCCCTGGAAGGGAAGAAAGGATTCCCCCAGAGCCAGGGCTCCGGGGTCGTCCGCAGTTGCTCTTGGGAGGGAAGGTGTGGGGCTCAGGGCAACCGTCTCCAGCCCGTGCCAGGCACCACGGCGGCCAGAACCTACTCCCAAAGCATAACTATTCTGACATCTCATAACGGGTCACTTCCTTCTTAGCGGTGCGGAGCCTGAAATCGTAGTCGCGGAGGAGAGAGTATGCCTGGGATCACTGCGGGTCAAGGCGTGCAGGGCCGGGCATGCACCCAGGGCTCCACGGTGCCTACGCCTCTGACGGGGAAGCGGAGGCGGCACGTCCTCGAGGTGTTATGTTTGAGTTCCATCCCGGCTCTGCCAGTGACTTTGGGCTAATCGCGAGCCTTCCAAGGCTTCAGTTTTCGCATCTGTACAATGGGACGATTGGTCTTGCTTTGCACGGTTAACGGGGCGGAGTTTGCGCACGCTCCCAGAGCGGCGAGGGGCGAGGGGCGAGGTACCGGGGGGGTCTATGGATGCTTGTTCTAACAGGCTGAGGTATGCTCGGTCTCTAACTGGCATCCACCTATCGCGCGATTCGCCAGGCTACCGGAAACGAACATAAGTACATTTTAAATCTTCCTAGCCTCACAACGAAACGTTGGATGGTTCTTGGGATGCAGCCACACGTGACTCAGATAATCGCTTCAAACAGCCCCCTTTCACAAGTAACACTAAAAAACACTCTGATACATTCTATAATGCTTTCCCATAGAATAAGGGGATACATTGAAATACACAGCAGACAACTGATACCATAACATAAATCA